CTGTTCCTCCGTAGCTCCTACGGTTGATAAGAAAATATGGTGGCGAGTCTCATTGACCCTAGCTAGCGGAAGGAGAGCAGGAACAATTGCCTCAACACACGGGTACCGCGCACAGCACCGCTGAAAGACTGGCCGAAGAGAACCTGAGGCTACAGAACGCGCCACCACTTAAGACCTCAGCAGCTAAGAACTTGAGCTCGCGGGAGGTATTGCGGGACTAATGACATTTACCCCCCCCCTAGACGGGGCGAAACCCCCTCTGTTGACTCTATCTCTTCAGGAACATATCGGATGTGAGTGTCAGATAGCTTGTGTTAATGGTATTGACCGTGCCAACACGATTCAAAAGGTTTGGGGTCAATTGGAGCTGTGTGGACGGAGGTTCGAGACGATTACTACTTGTTGAGATGCTGCGAAACCCCCTTTTTTCAGCATATATCTGTAGCCGCCGGTCCGATTCAGCTTCTAAGCAGCTTTTCAGATAACTGTAGCCCATACCTACACAATACAGTTGGTTTGAGGTCGATGGAAGCTCTGTGGGCGGAGATCTGCTTCGTTGGAGCCAATAAGAAGTTACTCCACCGGTGGAGCAAATAGCATTGCCGAATTGTTTCATTTTTTTTGCCTTTAGACTACGCCTTTACCGCTCTTTGGTGTCCGGTTGCTGCCTCCGGTGTGGTTAGCTCTAGGTTTACTCTCTGCCTGTGTAGGGGTTGAATTTCGAATACTGCTGTGGTAGAGACACTACCACTGGACCTGGGTGGAAGGCGATGCGATGATTACAAGTAAAAGGTTAGACCCGCCCCTCCCTGCACCCCAAACGCCCTCGTATTTGTCCACAAAGGATTCCGCTGCTTTTTACCCTCCGACACTAAACCAGACAACCTCAAACCAATATGCGGTTACGCGTGCAACACGCCAAGGCAAGCGAGTGTTTGGCCCAGGAGGGTGGGGAGGGGAGGGCAGGGGAAGTTGTGTTTTTTCGCCCCGTCCCGTGTCCTTTCTGTTTCCCACCCCTCCGTCACTCGGTCGTCGGTTCTTCTATTATTCTGAGGGTCGAAAGAAATGGCCTCACAGAGATGCCGGTCGTTCCCACCCGCACAACAAAGACAAGGGGCTCCAACTTCAGTTAGTGTTCTGAAACCGCTGATTCTTGACGCCTGGCGCTTATTCGAAGAATCTTTGTATGGGGTTTTGGTCGAGCTGCCTTTTGTTATTCGGTTCATGCTGTGTTGTCGTGAACGCGATAGCCAAAGCATGACAAAGAGAAAGCAATGAGCAGGCGTGGTCGGCGGAAACAATACATCTGTCGGGACGTGTGCAGCGGGAGCCTTTGCGGACGGCCGGGGGGCGCATGGTATTATTTTCGCGAGACTGAGCCCCCGCAACTTTCATCTTTTTCCAGGGTTTATATGTTTCTTTCGTAGAAGTGGTGCACTGCTTCCGTTTTTCAGCGTTCTTGTCTTTGTCCATGCATTCTGTAATTTGTTGGTAGATACCCTGAACCGGAGACGCGGCTGTGTGTAGTTGGCGCACGCCATCTTTACTCACTCACGCAATGCCCACCGCAGAGCGTGGACTTGGTATCTGTTCTATGGAGATGTTTCGTGCCTGCCCGCTGCTTCGTAGGTATTCAAGGGCGATGGCACCCCGGTATCGTGTCGCTCCGCATGACGTTTAAGACTCATGGAAGAAGATGATTTGCCTCTGCCCAGGTAGCCTGCGTGTGTTGCATGGAAAGGTCTCATGTTCTTGTACCCGTCATCTGTTGAGCGTTGATTGATCAGTTCTGGATTGAGCCTGGTTAGTTGCGGCGGTGGAATCACTGTTGGCTTGGGGAGTGCCATGTGAAGCGATGGGTCAGGGGTTTAAAGAAGAGTCCTTCTTTTCACGAGGGTTGGGCTCGGCCAGATCGGCAGAGCCTGAGTTCGCATTGCCATTTGGTCCTGAGATTGGTTCTTGTGCGTGCAAGAACCCTCAACTCAACCGATTCGCTCTGATCGATCCTCCCAGAAGGAATGTACGCACGTTCGAAGAGCCATTACTCCAACGTTTCTGGTTCGCGTCTCTCAACTCAGGCGTTGGATTTCCCCCTCCCCTTACTTTTTGTCTTCCCCTCTCTCCCGCGCGCCCAGGCCATGAAGAATCGTTCAGGCGTCATCTTTCACCGGTGATGCGATTCTTGCGTGTAGCAGGCAACCGATCTCGTCAGATGTGTGTCTATGTTTGTATGTTGCCTTTGTTTCTTCATGGTGAGGCTTGTTGTGGGTCATTTTTTAGGAGTGCTCGACGTATGTGTATGCACGCAAAGGTAAAGGTTTTTTTACGCATGTACGCCGGTGTTGCCATGATCCGGCCACGGCGGTGATGGCTACAGAGTGAGAAATATTGCTTCACTGAAGGGCTCGACAGTAAATTGCCGGGGATTTACGGCTGTCAATATTCGGAGCCAATCTCGTTTCTAACGTCTGACATTCAGCGAACGGTATGTAGGACGGTTTCATGTGAGTGTGTGTTTTCGTCCTATTTATTTTGGCGACAGTCCCCCCATTTTTCGTGGTGAGACTTTTCAGTGTAGGTAGAGTAGTACACTTTTCAGTGCATTTTTTCGTACAACTACTGTACAACCATGCAGGGGCACACAGGAGGGGGTAAACACCAGGGCTTCCTTTCTTCTTTTTATTTTTTTTCGTGCCCCACCTTCCTCCTGCGGCGCGTGCTGCATTTTGTTTTTTTCACGAGAAGGGTCCAGTCGTTCCTTTCCCTCGTCAACGGTGCTAACGTATACGCTTCCTATTCCGCGGTGAACGGTGGGCGTAGATTGGTACAACACAGCTCGCTAGTGCCTCGAGGACATGGTGTGCGCAGTTTTACTTAAGTACTTGTACCCTTCACCATTTGGGATGTTACCTTGTGATAGGGGTATCCTTGGCAGTGGCACTTGTTTGTAGACCACATCGATGGTAATAATTTGCGCTTCGTCAGCCAAACGGTATCGAAGAGAAGAGTGATTGAGTGGGGGCGAGCACCACGAGAAGCGAGCCTCCAAGCTATCCCGGAAAGATAAACACACACGGGCTTTTTCGTACAGGTCACAGTACCAGGCCGTTGATCCGACCCACTGTATTCCCTCATCACACACAATGTTTCCCTATTCGATGGAAGTTGCGTTGATGGAAAATTCGGTGCGTTCACGGAAGTCGGTTTCGACCTCTGTCGCCCACTTTCTTTCATGGAAGTTGCTTTCATGGAAGTTTTCGTGCTTCCATGGAAGTAGCAGAGACTCTGTCGAGCGATGAGCTTTCATGGAAGTAGTACTTCCTTCCATGGAAGCTCGTCGCACTTCCGGGGAAATCCGAAATGCGACTTGCATGGAAGAAACGATCGTTGATATCGGATGCTTCCATAGAAGCGGATCAACTTCAATGAAGGCGGATTGACTTCCATGGAAGTAGTTTACCGCTTCCATGGAAGAATCATGGAAGCTGGAACCCAAAACAAACGAACAGAACCCATGGAAGTGATAGAGCTTCCTGGAAGCCATCTAACTTCCATGGAATTCGATATTGACTGCCAAGGAAGTGACAGTAACTTCCATGGAAGCGGTGTATCCACTTCCATCGAGTAGTGCACTCCATGTTAGTCGATTTCGACTTCCATGGAAGCTTCCAATTGTCAAATAGTGTTGTAGGTTACCACGAAAATCCTTCCTCCAGAAAAACTAAGTGTTCTCGCAGTTGAGCCCCGCAACAGCCAGAGTGGGGTCGCCCTACGCCACTCGATACGGTTCTAGGTTGTCAGGAGCCTCTCCTGCGCCTTTTCGCACTGAATGTTGTGGCCGTTACTCTCACCTATGCTGGATATCAGTACGCTTTATTTACCCCATGCGTCTCCCAAAGGGAATACTATCGATCTGCACGATGCAAAAATGCCCCTTGCCAACATCTACTGCATAAAGTTGGATTGTTGGGCCGTTCGAAGGCTCTACAACGCGCTAATCCTCTCACACCACTTCTCAATAGACTCATCCCACGTATTTCGTCGCCACCGTCGAGCACAGGTTATTTTCTATGCGTAAGGAAAACTAAATACACACACAGAAAGACATTCCGTTCAAGATATAACCACAGTCCAACGGGATGTGTTGGAGTCATTGCAGTGAGCAAAATAAACAATATTGAACATCTCAAAATGTATCTTGACTATCTCAACATGCATATTCAAATCTCTATATGCATGTTGAGATGGGGTATGCTTGCATTGACACTTACACCCCATCCCCATCTGAATATGATGTACAAATCCAAACGTCAAAACATGGGGTAAGATTGCGCAACACGTTCACCCCCATCCCATATATCATCCAAGAATGTCGTAACAAGTATAGGATGTCACAGTCTGGGTCACAGTCCGCAGGCGTTTTGACTCTCGCTTGCTTCCCGAGATAGTCCACGCACAACCATACCGGTCACCTTCGTATCTGTCCACGTATACACCTGCAGTAATAATATTTCCCCTAGAACCGCCATCAGATAACGTGTCCTAAACTCCCATACTATTTGCGGCACGTTTCCTCGCAAAAAAGCCGACGCTACAGTAGCTTCGTATTGAAGAGTCCATGGTGGAGGGATTGGTGCACCTCTGCATCACGCCTATCTAATGTTGTACCCTGAACTTTACCTACATTCTACAACAAGGGCAAACCGCCAGCCCCGTTCACAAGGTAGACTACGATGTATGTCAGCCAGCATTTTGGATCTGCGGACTGCATTTATCAATACTGCGTACTGTAACGCGGTCATATTTTGTACCTTCCCTGCACCATGACATAACAACTATGATCTCCGAAGCTTTCGGCTTTCGATGCTGGCGCTCTATGTCCTGGTTGTCGATGAATCAGCAATTTGGGAAAAACGATTGGACTACGGATCCTGGTCATAATAGGGGCGTACGTGCATTTGGCAATTGGGGTGCGTGGATAGGATACATTACATAGCTCTCTATTGGCCGTTTGACATCTGTTGGCCGTATGACATCTGTTGGCCATATGACATCTGAGGCATCGCAACATTAACGTTGCTTATCGCAGTAGCGCTCGCGCTCGAACTGGCGGACGCACTCGCCGAAGCACCATGCCAACCGTCGCAAAATTTGGCGTACAGGAAGCACCCGCAGCAGCAGAAGATTAACGCAAACACGAGTACCGAGATGAGTGAACCCGAGATCGAGCTGCCTGAGCTTGACACTTCATCGTCCTCGAGCGTCACGTAGATGTAAGTCTGCATTAGCGTTGATTCGGAACGGGCGGGGAGCGAGAGGCAGTATGTTTGCTTTCAAAACCTACGATGGAACTCGGCGAGTATTGAGTGATGTGTCTTGAACATCTACACTGCGTGGGGTGGTGGAACTTGCAAAATGCTCGGTGGCATCGGGGCAACTGGGTAGCAAAGCTGATTGGGGAAGCATAGGGTTCGACTACAAAGACACACCGAAGCACAGGAGAGGAGAGGGCATAAGCATACGGTACAGAGTTTACGAACGTTTCTGGGATGAATGAACCCAGTCCGAAAACAGTCGTTATTGGTCCGGCCCTCGAGGGGTCGGTGTCGCTATTCCAGACTTTCTATTTAGCTGCCTGTGGAGCAGACAGTTGTGTAAAGGTTCGCCATCACGCCTGATCCATTCATCACAACGAGGGTTGCTCAGGTGAGAACCTGAGAAGAAGCAAATCGGTAGAAATTGTCGAAAGAGTCTCAAGCAGTAAAGATCCCGCTGATTCACCATGTTGCTGCTCGTTGCGGCATATGCCCGCCGCAGTTTCAGTGCCCCTCCTGGGTTCCCCTACCGACCAAATGAGATAGACTTGCATTGCTTGCAAATCCATGTAAAAGTTCCAATTGGGACCTCGCCGGCTTAACGTACCAAGCACCTACACGGGCGTTCACTCCGTCAACGCGTCTCGTATTCATCAACATGGAGAGTAATGTCCATACGTTGCGGGTCTCCCACACTTTCTACAGTATTCCAAACGACCCTGGGACACCGATGGGTGACCCTTGAGCATGGGCGCGCCCATGGGTAGCCCGTGGGCAGCCCGTGGGCGGCCCATGGGCCACCCGTGAGAAGCCCATGGGCGGATAATAAGAGCCCTTCAACCGAACCAGTGTACTCCTTAACAATAGATTATCTGCGTTTGAACGCGCACAACGGCGGCTAATAACCCTAACGCTAACCGTAACCCCAACCCCAAGCCCACACGATACGTGCTAGGTTGGCGCTGGTGGCTAAGTTCTAGCTTGATGTGAAGGTGGTTAAATTCTAGGTTGATACGCCGGCGATGAAATTCTAGGTTGAAGTGCCCACGGTGGGCACTTCATGGACCGCCCATGGGCGGTTCATGGGTGACCCATGGGTGACCCATGGGTATCCCCATGGGCGGTTTAACGAAACTGTCAGAAGTGTGGGAGATTGTACGTTTCAGCTGTACGTACGGGGGTACGCTTCAATCGAGCCCAAAAAACTCTACAGGACAGAGCCAGAAGAAACACGTGTGACAGCGAGCGCTGGGCGATTCACCCAAAACGATTGTGAAATTGCCACCGTTTGCACATAACGTTGAGGGGTATTTGGGGCGGGGGTGTTCCCCAACGACCGAAAGGGTTCCTGTCGCGAGATAGGCATGGTTAGGACAAACTTGGATGGGATGCTGTAAGACTTCCTTTCTTTTCTTCTTGCCCTAAGTGTATCGGATGGATACGTCTAGTTGTGTAGTCTTTGCTCTCACCTCGAGAATGCTGAACCAATCTCCGGCGGGAAGGTCTGCTTCGATCTTGACGGCTGTTGCCAAGGGTGTTGGCTGGAGGTAAATCTCACTTTCCACCATGGGGTAATACGCGCTCCCAGTCACTGTCTCAATTATCTGAGCGACAAATTCTTCATCTCCATCGGTGGAAGAGTCCAGGGTGTAAACTATCACCGACATGTCGTCCGTGACGTTTGTCAAGTCTTCTCATCCAGCGTGAATCGTCGTCGATCGGGCGGACAGGCACAATCAGTGTCATTAGGGGCAATTAGGCAGGCAAGCAACCTGCCCAGGTTTCGGCAAACAAAGGTCCATGTTGTCCCGTTTGTAACCCAAGAGAGACGGGGGGAGGGGCTCATGGTCGTGCATGCCGTAGTCGTTGGACCATTGACCTCGCATCCCTACAAAGCCGGGACGGAGCACGCCGGGTTCTCACCGGACCAAGCTCTCACATCACCAAGCGCAAAGCACCGTGCGGTATTCTGCGAGTCGCATGAAGGGTGCGCTGCATCCTGCTCACGGTGTTCGGCATCTTGTGCTTACTTCCTTGCGTACGGATGACAGCTGCGTATGACTTAATTTATTTTTGCTGGTGCTTTCACTTTCCAGAGACAGTTATAAGCAATGTGTAACTGCCTCGAGGGTGCTTGGCCAATTTTATCACAACGTGGTGCGATCATCCCCCTTGCGCGGAGTGAGGGTTCCCGACCTCGCACAACATAATATACTCGACCACCATTATGGCTACCGCAAAAAGAAAGCGGTAACTTGGTTGACGAGCTCAAAAAGTAATCGGCTTGTTTTACAACGTCGTTGCTAAGCGACCAGCACCCAATCCCGATGGCAAACACCGAGGGGGGGTGTACTCATGTACTCATAGTCGTGCATGCCGTAGTCGTTAGACCATTGACCTCGCATCCCTACAAAGCCGGGACGGAGCACGCCGGGTTCTCATCGGACCAGGCTCTCACATCACCAAGCGCGAAGCGCCGTGAGATATTCGGCGAGTCGCATGAAGGGTGCGCTGCATCCTGCTCACGGTGTTCGGCATCCTTACTTCCTTGCGTACGGATGACAGCTGCGTATGACTTAGTTTATTTTCTGGTGCTTTCACTTCCAGAGACAGTTATAAGCAATGTATAACTGCCTCGAGGGTGCTTGACCATTTTAACATAACGTGGTGCGATCATCCCCCTTGCGCGGAGTGAGGGTTCCCGACCCCGCATAACATGGTCTACTCAACCACCATTATGGTTACCGCAAAAAAAAAAACAGAGGTGAACAAAAAAAAACGGTAACCTGGTTACCGAGTTCACGAAGTAAATTGGCTTTTTTTACAACGTCGTCGCCAAGCGACGAAAACCCAACCCTGATGGCAAACACCGGGGGCGGGGGGGAAGGGGGCTTGTTTACAACATAGATTTTTCGGCTCAGCATTCTTACCGCTGACTCTTCTTCGGTTGCCTCGCCCAACCCATATGCATCACAGGTTTAAGGTCATTATGCTCGACTTAGTCCAGGAAGTTCGGGGCGGACTGCCGGCAGCTAACGAATGCTCGCTGGAAGTCGCCGAGGATTTTTTTTCCTTACAACTACACCAACGGCGTTCTGGGTGGCGACGACGCTGGCGGTGACGCTGGCGGTGACGCTGGCGCTGGCGCTGGCGGCGACGACGAGGAGAGCAGCGATGAAGGGTCCGTCCAGAACGACCAGGAGAACGCCGACACCGAGTCGGAGTACGAGGAAGGGACGGGTGCCGGCGACACTGAGACGGAGCACTAGAAGATTCATCTAGGCGAGAACCGATGTTGTCTTGTGCAGTGCATCCTGTTCGTTCAACTTGTTTTTCCACAGTGGCTGTAGAAAGATACGTAGGGTGTCTCGAGGTGTCTCAAGGCTAGGAGGTTGGGTATGTGCATTCGTTGGCGATTATTTGCTTCGCAACGACCTTTAGTTCAGTGTATTCCAACTCTTCAATTTCGCGAGACAAGAATAATCCTTTGGAGCTTTTGGGTGGCTGACGACACCAGTTATTGACAGTACTGTACCCTTGAGTATGCTGCATATGTAACACATTTCCACTGGAGTATGTTTGAACTTCCCGAGTTCTTTGGTAGCCCAAGGCCAAGCCCTTAATCGACACTTTTGTTCACGGTGATCGGCCGACCGTCTGTAAAACCCTGTCGTTTCTACTCAAAACCAAATGGGCCGATCGATGACACCGTCCCCGGTTTGCTTGTTTTGAACTGCCTGAATGTTTTTCAGTCACGTGAGGGAAGAGTTAACGTCAGCGCGACAACGGCGTGGCGAACATATTCTTCAAAAGCCCGGCGAGACGACCGGCGTGTGTTTCTTCCGTTCTCTGGCATCGGTCTGGCGCTACCGTCGCGGCACTTTTTTTCGACGGGTGGGGAAGGGGAGCATGTAAATATACGCCTTATGCCTTTTGTGTTTTCGGTCAATATCCAGACTATATCGTATGTGCGGACGGAATGGGGTTGACGATGGCCTGCGCCGTTGCTTGTTTGCGTTGCGGAAAGTTCAATTGTTCGGGTGGTACAGGTTGGTCGGGATTTTGTGTGGAGCCTAGGTGAGTTGGGGAAAAGTGGGCCAGGGAGGGCGGCTGGGGGGGGGAAGGCTGCAGCTTTAAGGTTGTTGACGGTTGTTGAAAGCTTCAACCTCGGGCGTTGACTTGAAGCCCGCGTTAGCGACCGCCGTTTTTTTCGATTCGCTGGCATCCGTGACGTGCTCACACGTCGCCGAAGGGGCACGATTGAGGTCGTTTTGTCAAGGCCAACTGCTGTGTTTATTTTTTTTTCTTGGGTAGTCGGTCAATCTCCGGACCGTATAGTAAATGCGGAGAAGTTTCTACGGGGGCGTGTTTCCTCACTCGTACCGACTTTAGTAAAATAAACTTTTGTTCTTCTCTTGGCTTCCTTGGTGCGATTGCTTGTTTGTGCGGGAGGTCGAGAAATGGTGAGCCGGTCGAAAAACTTGTGTGGAGCCGCTCATGGCTGTGTGGGGCTAGGTATGCATGTTATTTTTTTTTGTACGTCATTACGGTTCTTTGTTCGGGAAGCCGCGGCCATCTTGTCCGCCCTCGTTCCGCCGTAATTATCTCGCGGTACACGTACAATCTTTTTTGCGTCGTGCGTGCCCTAAACGAAGCACGGGCCACGATTGTGGTTGCTGGGACCTTGGTTTGAGGCGTCGTGTATTTGTGTCTGCAGAATAGGCTATTGTATAGTTTGTTTTTTTGCCGGGGTGTCATGCGCTCACCACGGTGTTGACGCACGGGAACCTGCATATGTGCAACTACGCGCTAACGCATTAACGACCGACGAATTAATACAAAAGAACATAAACCTGGTACTTGTTATCCGGCTGCGAACGTTTGTCCCGAGGGGCAGAACAACGTTGCATGATGAGAGGGCACAATCTGGCGACGTTGTGAGCCAAGGCTTTCTCTAACCCACGAGGTTATGCTGTGTGTGCTTACCTGACCCGGCCAGGTTATGCCACCGGGGTCAGCAACCTGGGACGTTGTATTAACTGCAAATAGAGTCCCTTTTTTTCGGCATTGTACAATGGTGCATATAATGTGCCCCACTGGCCACCTGTGTATGTGTTGGGCAAACCGGAACGAAGCAGGTGCCGTGAAAAAAGGGCGTGCCGCTCGAGAAATTCGCCGCCCACAATTGGTTGAAAAGTGTTCTTGAAAAGGTTGTCCCGCTCAGTGTTCACCCTAAGATTCGACCCTTGGCTTCCTTCCGTGGCCACAGAGGCCAAGTAACCAAAAGGTACAACGCGAAAATAAAGGTTACCGTATGTTTTGCCATGAAGATTGTGAGCGTCAGTATGCAATTCAACACGCACAATCTGCATGGCATTAAAAATGCATTGCATATGACGCGCACAATCTTCATGGCAAAACAGTATGCATACATACATGAAGATATGAGTAGCATGAACGGATCACATCGGCTGGAGGTGGGTTGCTACCAGAGGACCCTGAGATTCAAAAGGAGTTGGCTGGTTGGTGGTCTGCCGAATTACACTCGATGGCACGTGCCTTTGTGTTCCCATTATAACGAGCTCCACAGCAGCATCCGTCATCATCGCACGCCGCATTTGAGAGAGAGAAATATGTGCACGTTTTTACCCAACGGTACCCCATACCACGTTTTTTCGTAGCGAATAGTCGGTCGGTAGATATTCCTGCAACAGGGAGAAACAACGAACTACTGTTATATGACCCGGTTATGATGCGATCACGACTCCATCATGACCCGATCATGATCACGATCGATCACGAACTATGTAACCCATGTTGTCACCCATTCACCAAACACGCTGGTGGTACAACAAGTAGTCTATGTCCAGGAGGCACAACATTCCAAGGGTGTGTTCGGCAGGGTACGACCGAGGTATACCGCCGGTATATCCGCCGGGATCTACCCTACCAAGCGTTTCGGTATGCTCGGTACAGGCTTCCATACCATACCGAAAATTTCGGTACGCTCGGTACAGCCCTCCATACCCTACCAAAAATCTCGGTATTCGAAGAAAAATTACCGAAATTTCGGGAGGGGTATCGGTACAGCCCTACGTACCTTACCGAAAGAAATACCAGTACCGCCACGTTGTGAGGTCACTCGCTCACTCACCACACAAATGGCGGTGCAATCTGCTGTACCCCCACCATTCCCCGAACACACAACACCGCTGCTGCACCCTACCGAACATCCCCTACCGAACATCACCATCCACCCTGGGTGTACACGATACCGAGCACTCATGAGCAGTGAGGCAACCTCTCAGGATGAGGGGGTTGCCAGCGGTACCAACCCCGGTTCTGGCGGCAGTTCCTCTTCGCAAGCCCCGACGCCAGAGTTTGCCGACATCTCACAGGGAATCAGCGTGGCTACGATTTCACCAGTGATCATCATAAACTTCGGTACCCTCGGTATAGACCTCCCCACCCTACCAAAAATCTCGGTATACGGAAAAAAATTACCGAAATTTCGGTAGGGGTATCGGTACAACCCTCGATACCCTACCCAAATTCTCGGTACGCTCGGTATAAACCTTCATACCCTACCGGAAATTTAGGTACGCTCGCTACAGACCTCCATACCCTACCGAAAATTAGGTATTCAAAGAAAAATACCGAGATTTCG